TCGACGAAATGATTGTCGATGAAGTGATTGTCGACGAAGTGATTGTCGACGAAACAATTTTCGACGAAATGAACTTTTCGACGAAATGAACTTTCGACGAAACGAACTTTCGACGAAGTAAACGGGACCGGGGTCTCTTTGGAAAGCTATTGCGCTATAACCAAACAAGCTATTGACAAGTAAAAAATTGAATTTAAACGAAGAAAAGCACAAGATTCTATTCATTTAGAAGCATAAAAATTGTTTATTAATAATCTTGTATTCAATTCTTCCTTCAAAGTCTGTTGTACGGAAAACGTGCTATGTCGATCATATTAATATAGTAAAATCAGTAAACGTGAAATCTTGTCTGACTGATATTTGTTGAAGCCTTTTCGTTAAGAATATAAATGTGTGGTGTTAAAGAATGAGGTTTGTTTCCAATTGTTCTAATTCCAAATAAACATTATTAATATTTTATATTGTGAGAATTTAGAATTTTCAAATGTCTCCTCTCACAATTATTTTAATTTGGGTAATTGGACAAGACAAATCCAATTAGTTATGAAGTTTCTCTATTAGCAATCTTTTTTTATATAGCCTAAAAGCTTGATATATTTGCCATGTTTATATCTCATTAGTTGAAGGCTCTGATAGAATTTTTATTTTATATTTTTTTTGTTACACGTTAAAGTCACGTGTTTTATATTTGAAATCTGGGGGATGTTAAACAAATAATCGAATTTGAACAGCCTAATACTAAGCATAATATAAATATTTTCTCCATATTCTATTTTTTCTTCTTACTGAAAGGCAATTGTAATCCACTTAATAATAATCTACCTTCAACATCAGTATAAGCAGTAGTTTGAAAAATAACATTAAAACCTGTTATGGTTGGATACATCTCATAGTTTCCCTCAATATCAGGAAATAAACCTAAAGCACTTGATGGTAATCCCATTGCAATATTTCCATCACCATCCCCTGATGTGAATTGTATTCCATCCCAATCTTTCATGCGTGGAAGTACTATCTCAACTAATTTATCTAAAAATGTGTACATTGATGCTCCTTTAATGCTCACTTTACATCCAATTGGCATTCCTTAGTAAATTTTTTTCAAGTTAAAAATTAAGAAATTGAGAAATTTTTTTTTAAAAACCAAATTTAAAAATATAATAATATTTACCTTCTCTCAATTTCCAGGTGGAAACATCAGATCTTGCGTAGATAACAGATGGTTGCTCTGATGTTATTGATTGTAGAGCCATCAAACCACTTAATAAATGTTGTTTATTTATAATAGCTTGTTTCATCATACAATTGAGATTGATAGCTTGTAACTTTGGTATGGTTAGGTGTGATTGAGGTAAGGGTGTAGGCTGGATTTGTTTATTTCCTCGTTGCCTAAGTGGTGTTGGCTTTCTTGGGTCTTTGGCATTTTTAGTCTGTGGTAGATATCGTTTTTTTCTTTTCTCTACAAATTTTTTCTCTGTCTCTGCATCTCTATATGTTAATATCATCACATCATCAATCAATGTATTCTGATAAAATTCTTCCATCCTTATCATTAAATTTTTACCAGGATAGAAATTGGAATCTGTTGGTAACTTGGCTGGTGATTTTGGGTGATATTCTGTACTAAGCATTCTTTTTTTTTTCAAATTACAGATTGTTAAAAATCTTGTAGGAAAACTTTTAATATATTTTGTTAACATAATTCGGTTGCACGAAAATTAAAAAATCTTTATTAATTAATTAATTCGAAATGGTAAAATGGGCAGCGACAGCAGCAGGTGTTTTGACTGCATCAGCTTTAATGTATAGTTTTCAACATAAAATTGAAAGTAATACATTTTTATTACATACAAAACTGTTATATGCAAAAAATCAACTTGAAACTTCTTTACCAAAAAATTTAAGTAGCATCAAAAATGATAATAATAATAATGTTGGTGTCAGTGAATTGGTAAAAATGGATTATTTATATTTTTTACTTTAATAATTTCATTATAAATTAATTAATTCATTCATTTATTACTTAAAATATTAAGCAGAAGGATCAAAAAAAACCTTACTATTATAATCATGAGTTTATTCCAAAAATTAAATCATCATGGAATCAAAATATTATAAGTTTAGTCAATAATGTTAATAAATTTGATATCAACGAGTCTAGTAAAAATCTTTATGATAATTTAAAATCATTTTCAAATGAGAAATTTTTTAAAGAAAAAAAATAAATAAATATTTCATCAAAAAAAAGTTTTTTCTCATTTGTATAAATATATATAAATTTTTAAATACAATTGTTGATCTCTCACTATTACCATCTTCTTCTTCCCCAAAAGATCCATCTCCAAATACATTAAACAATTCTCTTAATGTCATGGATTGTTTATGAAACAAATTTTCATGGATGTTTGATCAAAAGGTTATTGTAACACCAAAAATGACACCCTTCCTCCTCAACACCATTTCTTAATAACATATAACATACAGACCAATATAAATGTGCTGTTACTATTAATCTCACATTATTGTTATTATCAGCTACATTTGCTGTGTTTCCATTTAATGTTGATTAATATATTATCATCATCATTTACTGGTGGTGATAATGTTTGTAACCTTACTATTGTATCATTAGTTGATATTAGCTCTATGCTGGCTAGCAGGGAGGTACTGGTGTTAATTAATGTAGTAGAACCTTTATCTGAACTGTTGTTGTTGTTCTTGCTATTATTATTATCATCATCACTATCATTACTACTATCATTATAGGAACTTTCATTATATTATTCATCACATATCAATTGGTGATTCATCCTTAAAAAATTTTTTTTGAAGCTTTGATTAATTTTCTGTATGTTCAGCATGTAATTTCAGCTATTTTGACTTTTGATTCAACTTTTGACCTCACAGGTTGAAATATTACCAAACTAAATATTGATAATAATAAAATCACACCTTTTAATTATATTACTCTACCAATAATTAATGATAGTCTTTGATTTATTTTTATCTTGTTTGTCAAAGTAATCCATACAATGCTCAAAATATTGAAAATTTATGGTGGGATTTACTTAGAATGAGAAACCCAAAACCAAAAAATAAAATAGAACTATTCAATTTATTAAAAGAGGAATGGTTTAATACTA